AAATGACTGCAGAGTCAAACCTTATGTGTAGCCTTTTAACTTCCTGTTCTCTAATTTCTAAAATAGAAATGCCATCAGTCTCAGAGTGGTTTTATTGTGTCCCTTAATAGCTGATGTTTCAAGCCATAACTGAAATATACTTCCATTTCTACACTTTTATTGATCCAGGAAGAGATGACTGCTGAGCACTGATTCTTTTTAAGTAGTACAGCTCTGATCCTCACATAGTGAATACACACAGCTCAGCTATTTAAAGCTGAAAGGAAAGCCTTGATTTGCTTTGCTTTTCATGCATAGTCACTTTATGTGGAGTACACTATGAACTGTGTATGTTATTGTTCACTTCATTTACACCTCATTAGAAATAACAGTTTATATAATGCATGGTTACTCTTGTAGTTTGGATGTGTCTTTTGCGTTCTTAACTTTCTACACAGACCAATAGCTCCTGTGACATAACACGTACTGGATCTCCCAAACTAAGAAAAACAGCCCTGTTTCCAGCTTGAGGAACCATTTATACGTCAGCTCATGTTCATCCATCCATTTTCATCTGCTTATCTGGGGCCAGGTCGTGGGGGCAGCAGGCCAAGCAAAGCACCCCAGACATCTCTCTCCCCAGCAACGCTTTCCAGCTCCTCCTGGGGGAGCCCAAGGTGTTCCCAGGCCAGATGAGATATGCAATCCTTCCAGCATGTTTTGGGTCTGCCCTGGGGCCTCCTACCAGTGGGATGTGCCCGAAACACCTCTAACAGGAGGCGCCCAGGAGGCATCCCGATCAGATGCCTGAACCACCTCAACTGACCTCTTTCGACGCTAAGGCGCAGTGGCTCTACTCCGAGCTCCCTCTAGATGTCCGAGCCCAGTCACCCCACGGAGGAAACTCATCTCGGCTGCTTGTATCTACAATCTCATTCTTTTGGTCACTTCCCAGAGCACGTGACCATAGGTGAGGGTTGGGACATAGATGGACCAGTAAATCAAAAGCTTCGCCTTCTGGCTCAGCTCCCTCTTTACCACAATGGTCCAGCGCAGCAACCACATCACTGCAGACACCGAACCAAACTGCCGATCCATCTCATGCTCCATTCTACCCTCACTCGTGAACAAGACCCTGAGATACCCCAAGAATTCCTTCGCTTAGGGCAGTAACTCTCTCCCAACCCAGAGGGGGCAATCCACCACTTTCCGGCAGAGAACCATGGCCTCAGACTTGGAGGTGCTGACTCTCGTCCTGACCTCTTCACACTTGGCTGCAAACAGCCCCAGTGCCGACTGAAGGTCACGGTGTGATGAAGCCAACAGAACCACATCATCTGCAAAAAAGCAGATGCAATTCTGAGGTCCCCAAACTAGACCCCCCCCCCCCCCCCNCCCCCCCCCCCCCCCCCCCCCCCCGGCTGCACCTCGAGAGCCTGTCCATGAATATAACAAACAGGATCAGTGACAAGGGACAACTCCAGCTCATGTGATAAATTCAAAATCATACATTTTAGAGATCTAGATTTGGGTTCAAGCATCTACGTGATCCAGAGCTTTACTTAAAATCATCTTGCAGCATTCTGGCTGGAAACACATGGTGTTATTGGACCTCTGTGCATGAGGCAAACATCAAACCATATTTACTGTAAGAGTGGCACCATGTAGACTTTATTTTCAGGCCTTATACAGAATCTCTAGTACCATAGATAAAACAAAAAATAAATAGTGTGTAATACTACGGTAGCACATTAACGAGGACACACATTAACATGATACAGGTATAGTTTCCACCATTACTGGAAAGGTATATTAAAAGGTCAGGTGTTACGGTCCATACCCCAGTATCCATGCACATGCATGCGCCTGGTCCGCACGTCCTCTGTGTTTGCCTAAAGCAAAATATTAACATCAGCTCACATTGATTTGGCATATAACCATAATAATAATCCAGTCGTTGATCATAGTTAAACTGTGCTAATTCACAATGAGCTGTTTCAGTTAATTCAAACAGTACAACAGATAACTATCGATGACAACTACTGTTTCACTTGTTAAATGACGTCTTAAAGTATTTGCCACAGTTAAGAACAGTTTTGGCCTCGTTTAAGCAGACATAAAATCTCAAGTGAACGTTCGGCGCTGTGAGCCTGAATCGCATGACATTAAATAACGTTCCCCTATCCTGTAAATAAAACAGTCCAGCAGCTAAATTGTAAAAGTGGACACTTCCACGATGATAGAGAAATGGTCTGGACACATTCCTTTTCCCTGTAGTTTGTCCAGTCTAAAAACTGACTCCTTATGATGGGCTGTAGTAGAAATGCGAACAGTTCTCTTTGTGTGTGTGAACAGTTATTCGGCTTGGAAGGAACATGAACCCCTGGACTCCGAACAGAGTTGGCAGTCTGTTGCCAGAAAAGTCCTGAACATTCCACTAGCCTGTTGGATTTAATGGTGGCACGGGTGACTTTGCTTCTAGCCGTCTAGAGGTTTCCCCAGGTATACCATGGTGACTTCAGTGTTGCCGTACACTGCGGAGACAGCGGGGAACAGGCAAGCTTTGGGCAGTCCACGAAACGCTATTCCAAGAAACTCAAAACCCCTTTCAAATGCTAACGTCTTGTCATCCATGTCTAGAATCACACGTATTCTCTCCCCGATCTGTGGACACACAAACGTACATTCATTAACTCCACACATTATTTTTGGATTGCTCAAAATCTGATGAAGGTACACACACGTGTGGCTCCAGCTCCTACCTGATATTTTGGCGCATTGTTACACTGTGGGAAATTCCCACTGACCTCCCCGTTATGAAGCAGGTTGTTGTCGACCAGGTTCCAGCCCCAACTCTGGTCATCGCTACCCAGCAGGGCCACGTAGCCCTGGCACTGCATGGACGCCCGCTTTGTGGCAAGGCCTATTACCGCCACGGTGCCCAGAGGGCCTTCCCACCAGATCTCCCAGGCATGCCTCCCTTCCGAAAAGCCGATCTTTCCACGTGCCCCGTCCGTGCTCTGGGCGATGGGGTTGCGGTGCAGGGTGAAGCCGTTCTTCTTCACGTAAACGTTGCGGGAGCAGTCGTGGGAGCTCAGAGCGTGTTGAAAGGCCTTGAGCTGCAGAGGGAGATCGGACAGGGACAGTGAACAGACATTTGGGTATGAAAGATGCTGCTGTTAAATTATATATAACAGTGCAAAAACATAAAATAAAATCCTATTTTGGTAGTCTTGGGTGCTGCTGTCGAGTTAAAAGAAAAGCCCTCCAACTGTAGTTGTTGGTGAACTCTAAAGATCTGGGAAACATATCCTATATATAGATGTGTAAACAAGGTGAGAAAGGGTCATGGACTTTGGCTTTTCTACCATGCAGGACTGAATGTGTTGCACCAATCAGGTCTCTGGAGCTCAGAGCTTCTATAAGGTCTTTCAGAAGTAGTTTTATAAGTATATGATTATGGCTTCTTGAGATAAATTATTTAAGATCTTCCTACAGACAGTTCCATTCATTCCCCCAGTTATGCAATACTAAACACTAACAGTAACCTCTGTGATAAAGTTGACTTCCATGACCTAGTGTGAATTAATGGCAATTAAACAACACCTTTCACCCTGCTAAATCCTTACACCAAACCCCATTTCAAAATCTACCAATTTAATTTGGGCTTCAGCAAACATGCACATTTACTTTGTACATGAGTTGTTTTTTGTTTGCAAATGATATTCTATGCATCTCTGAGCTATTCTGGCATGTAGCACTGCAGCTTATGGATTCACCCTGAAGACAGTGAGCTGTTTACTACACTATCAGTCACGTCACGCGAAGGTGATTGCAGAACAAAGGTAGCACTGTAACAGCCAGATTTTTCAAGGGGGTTCGTCATTAATCACAGTTCTCCCAACCCCGAGACAACATCGGTATGTTGATAGACCTACTTTTCCTCTGTAGGTGGGCAGGTTGCACAGGATATCAGAACGCAGAGCTTCATCGCTCAAAGTCCGGCTGCAGAGGCTGCGCCACACCTCGCTGTTTTCATCCGCCAGGATATTGTTCCAGTGCCAGCACACCAATGCACAACGCATCAAGTCGGAGAGCTCCAAATATGAAAAAACATGCTCCAGGACCCGAGCTGGCAGCCTCCCGGCCACTCCTACGCCTCCCCCGGCTGCAGCAGCGTAGGGTGAGCCGGCGGAGCTGCAACTGGCTGCCGCTGCTGCACCCTGACAGGAGGAGCCTCCTCCTCCACCGGCCGCTCCAGACATTATGCCCCTACACTTCACCGACGACACCAGTCGAGCGAATAGTTTCACCTTACACCGCAGAATGGTTCCTAATATAAGTTCAATAGCGACATTTTACCTGTAAAGTCAACATATAGGTCGCAGTAAAACCACAACAGTATGGACCCTACTCTTCCCAGTTCAATGGCTGAATGGAAACGATGCGTCAAGGTCCTGGAAGAGCAAAGACACTTATTGTATTGCTGTTGAATTAACTCAGAAATTAATTTGCATAAGCATTGTTTAAATTAGGTGTAGAGCTACATTAGCTGAATTAAGTATTGATACGTTGTTAGATAAACGGAAGCCTTTGCTAAATTTAAATATTTTTTTTGCCTGCAAGGACCGCAGGCCAGACATAATAATGAGCTCACGGATGTTGCAGTGTAGGATATTTAACCTTACATTGTTGTAATGTCAAACTGTAGCAACTCTGTGGTGAAGAAAAACAGCCTAAAAATAAATATATAATACGTTATGAAATAATAATGGCAGTGTTTACGAGTAAATAATTTTATCTGACAATTTTTGTTATTTCAGTTTCATTTTTAATCGTGTTAGAAATCGTTCTTGTGTTTAAAAAATCAGGGAAAATTCTTTGATGTGTTCAGACGAAAAAAAAAATCTCGTTAACCTATATTTTCAGATAAAATACCCCGTAAATAAAAAAATAATATTTTATTTTTATTTTTATTTATTTATTTTTTTTTACACGCGATCACGTGACGCTACCCGGAAGTGACGCGGTTGCTCAAAAGAGTTCAGCAAAGCATCTGGGAGCAAAACACCAGCTAGCTTAAATACATTTTCCACCAGAAGACCAGCGGAGGGGACTAAGACACGGTCAGGACAGTGAACAGTAAGTTGTCGTCGCTTGTTACTGAGATAAGGAGACGTGTGTGTTGTGTTCAGTGTCGGGACAGGCGTCACTGCAGAGCACAGCTGTCTGGCTGTCTGCCTCCTGTGCTATGCGGCCTGTTGACAAGCTGCCCCCATCTGGCTGCTGTCCGGGGACAGTCCGGTGGTTTCACTCGGTCAGACAGGTGATTAGCAGGTCAGTCTGTGCATCGGGACCGACCTGCAAATGGCAAACATGCTCAGCTAGCGGCGGGGTGTGCAGCTGGTGATGCTCGGGAGCTATGCTAGCCGACTATAACAAAGCCCCCGCTGCGTTCACCTTTCGGAATTCTTCTACTTTAAGGTTGCCATCTTTATTTTTGCAGGCAACATGTCTAACGTCACCTGGAAATGTGCGAACACCTATTTATAGTGAAGGCCTCCTGGAAACAAGCTGACATGCAAACCACTGAGCAAACATGACATATTGTGTAGACTGGATGTTTTAGTGTAAGAATAAGATCATTTAATAAATCTTTTAATAAAGCGGAATTATTGCTGCTTACAGTTTTGGTGCATTTCTAATTAAAAAATGAGATAATGACGATTTATTAAAGACAGTCAGGAGATATTTTGTTGTGTGGTTTCCATAAAAACACACAATAATATATATTTATGTTTGTAGTAACGTTGCTTCCTCTTTAACAGCATGAGATGCAAACACTCTGCTCACTAGAAATAGTGGTGCCCTTGTTTTAGCTTCACTTCAATACCAAATGACGTAGGCTGTTAGAGTAGTGCCTTTGCTTCAGTGTTTAAATTGTCCTTGAATCAGCACTTGTGTAGTGATGTAATGGTTTTGGGACCGCCGCTAGAGGGCAGCACAGAGACATGGCTGTGCCCGAGAAGAAAACACTGCTAATGAGCATCATGAGGAGCAGAAACCAAGGCTGCCTCTGCTGCAACACAAAATGTTTAGGACACTTTTTTAATGATCCACTTTAAAAAACATTTAGAAATACATTTTTTTAAAGAATTGCACTCCTATAAGGTCGAATGTGAAGTGTCTGTATGTGTTTTGTGCATGTGTGTGCTAAAGCTTGTGCACAGAGCATGTGTGCATATGGGCGTATTGATGTACCTGCCCATTTGTGTGGATGCATGCACATATTTATGCACATTTATTTGTTTTTATCGCCTTGTTTTACCTCTTTACTATTTGCAGATATCTTATTTATCATCTTGTGAAGCACTTTGTAACATCTGTTTTGAAAAGTGTTGTATCCTCCTGCGACCTGAGCTTTTGTTTGGTGTGCATTTTTAATTTCTCCTAGCTGTCTGGGATCGGTAGGACCTGATAAGTATAAAAAACTAAAGATTGTCAATCATAATAAAGTTATAACAGTGTCTTATCTTGTTACTGTTGCTAGAATTGGTCAAATTTGTTGCCATGTCAAACTACAAACATTATTAATCATAAATAAACAAGTTTCAACCATTAAATGTGATCAGGTTTGACCTTGTCCACTCGTGTCGGGATTGGCTGCAGACTGACTTGATAAAGATGGCTGCCATCTTGTTTTTACATGGATTAGTGTAGTGTGCTCTTACTACCACTGGATGGCACAAAAAGTGTCCATGAACGAGGACAACAGGTCTAAGTGAAGTAGAATGAAGTATAAGGTCAAGTAAACCCAAAATGTGATGTTGTCATATGAGGACACATGGTCTTAGGGGGACATAGGCTACAGAAGCCCTGCAGGGACACTCATATCAGCTGTACATGGCTATTGTTGCTGTGTCAGGTCAGAAATGGCCGCGTGAGGGTTTACTTTAAGGTTATAGGAAGTCATACAGTGCTTTAAAATTTGTTTTTACATATATAAGATATTTCCCTACAGGTCTAAGTGAAGCAGAATGAAGTATAAGGTCAAGTAAACCCAAAATGTGATGTCCTCATATGAGGGTCTCAGGAGGATATAAATACATGTATTATTATTATTTTTACAAGAAATGTCTACACTGAGTATATTACAGCTTTTCTATACATTGTAAGGAGCAGGATTACAGATAAATTACAATGAAAGGTGAGTGGAAACACACACAGAAAAACAGTGAGTGCTCATACTCACTTGAGACATGGAGAGAAATTGAAAACTAAAATTGAAAGTGGTGCAGAGGTCTTGGCTCATGTGAAGTTATGCATATTAACTGCTTCCACAACATGTTGTAATGCAAGTTATGAGTGAGTGGACAGCACTAGAGAGATGAAGAAATCTCTTGTGAGGTGGTTTTGTTGTCATTCTGGTTACTGAAATGTCAGTGATGCATTATTTGTCACTGTCCTTATATGTACCAGTCATTTTAAGTGTTGTTTTGTATTTTTGTCTTTATGTGTCTTTATAAAGTAAAATTAAATCAAAATTTTTAGCCATTAGCAGCATCAGGGGAATGGCTAGGCCTACATCTCAGCATGCTTTGTTTGTGGACAGGTGTCTGTTTGTGGACAGGTGTCTGTTGACTCATGAATCTGTCCCAGATTTTCCCAAATGATCTTGCTTAAATTTCATTTGTTGTTTTGTCATTTAAATGCTCTTAAATTCACACAGTCTGTGCTTTCTCATTGCAGAATAAGTGAATAGACGTCCATTATGAATCCCGTGTACAGCCCTGCACCAACAGGGGTCCCCTTTACCAACACTAAGGGTATAGGCTACCCAGGTAATCTCATGTGGTGATGTGTAATGGGTTAAGCCAGTGGTTCTCAAATGGTGGGATTTTGTGATAACCACACATTATTATTGCAGTATTCAATTGAAATGTGTTATTAATTGACTGTATCAGTATGTCGTGTGCACCCATTTCCTAATAAAGGGGCAAACCGTAGCTAAAAACTGTAATTTAATTCAATTTAATTTAAAAAAAATCTTCACAGGGAACCCATTTGTTGCCATTTGCGTGTGAGAATTTTAAGTGTGCGACACATCAAAAGCCTGATTGACAGCCAGTGTGAGGGAGGAGAACATTTAAAAGGAGAAAGCCGTGAGTGGGACAATGGATCGCTTTATTGTACGGAGCAAATTACGACAAAGCATCAGAGAAGACGACCTACCGCTGAAAGAAAAGAAAGAAAACCTGTCTTATTTTAGTTTCTTATTATGCTGTGATAAGAAGGATAACACACGTTATAAAAGCTGTTGTGCACAGATATAAACACAGGTGTGCCTTGGCCACAAAAAGTTTGAAAACCACTGGTTCAGGCAAATATCCAAACTGCAAAAATGACCCTGAAATCAAGATAATTGAAAATTGATTGAAATTTTTTTGTCCCCTTTTCCGTCATGGCAGCTGGATTCCCTGTTGGCTACGCAGCAGCTGCTCCAGCATACACTCCTAACATCTATGCAGGAGCGAACGCAGCCTTCTCCAGTGGTAAGGATGTTTCACTGTGTTTGTGCATGACATTAGGTAGCAGAGAGTCTAGTGCTGTAGCAAGGGTTTCAACACCTCTACAGGTTGTATGTTGGCCAGTGTTTCAGTCTGCACATCTTTCCTAACATGCAGTTAGTAACCGTTGATATCCAACACTTCTTATTTCTTCATTCACACCCACTGACTGAAAGTGACTGGACGTTGAATAATCAGCACGAGTAACGTCAGGGTTCTTCCTCCCACCAGGCTATGCTCCAGGGACTCCTTTCAAAATGTCCTGCTCTCCCAACACTGGGACTGTCCCGCCGTACTCCTCCTCACCCAGCCCCTACCCTGCTGCTGTGTACCCGGTCAGGAGCACCTACCCCCAACAGAACCCCTATGCACAGGTAGTTATTTAAGTTGGCCAGAGGATGGCGCTCTAATCAAAGGTCCAGATTTCAGACTCGTGATATCTGTGTCGATCAAGTGTCACTGCATTTTAATAAAGTCCTGTTTAATGTGTTCCTGTGTGATCCAGGCACTAATACCTTCACAACAACAAGGCACTTACTACACACAGCCGCTGTATGCTGCACCGCCTCATGTTATCCATCACACTACAGTGGTCCAGCCCAATGGGATGCCTGCAGCCATGTATGCCCCGCCTATGCCTCCTCCCCGCCACAACAGTGTCGCCATGGGGATGGTAGCCGGCACCACTATGGCCATGTCAGCTGGTGAGCATTGTATTGTATTATTCATCAGCGTCTATATTTTGTAGAGATGCTTAATCTGAGGTTGTGTCTCCATGTGTTGAAGGTTTAACACATGGAGACACAACCTCAGATTAAGCATCCATGTGTCCATGTGTTAAACCTTCAACACATGGAGACACAACCTCAGATTAAGCATCTCTACAAAATATAGACGCCATGTGTCCATGTGTTGAAGGTTTAAATCCCCAGTTTGTGTTTACAGTCTCAGTTAGGTCTCATTCAGGAAGTGACACACAAACCCGTCGTTAATTTATTTTTGCTCGTCTCTTAGGTTAGAGAAAATCTCACCAGTGGTCGAGGCCACGGTTGCCAAGAAAATACTAACGTCTTGGTTTCAGTCCGCACATTGTTTCTTCAGTGCAGGAAAACATATATTTTAAATTTGAGGAACTTAAAAAGCAGAAGTAACATATAATCACATGTAGATTATTCTGTTTCAGTTCAGTTTAGGACCAGATGTCACAACTCCTTGATGCACGTACTTGAGACTATGAGTGGGAGTGATAATGCCGTCTGGGGGTTTCTGAGTGGGGCCAAAGAGTTAAGGTCAGATAGATAGAAAAATAAGAAAGAGGCACGGATAGACAGACTGAACTCTCCCCTGCCCGACCAGGCCGTACACTCTACCTCCCCCTACTCCCTCATTTTGATAAGGGAAGAGAGAAGAAACTAACAGGAGACATTTTAAAGTAGTTATAATGATTGCCTTATTAAATTTGGTCCACTGATCCCAATTAAGACAATAGAAATCAACCACATGAACCCGACCTGTGAACTGTTTTATTCACTATAGTGACACAACTGTCAGGACAGAGTCACAAGGACTGAGCGCCACAACATGTGTGTGTTTGCGTGTATGTGTTTGAGGAAGAGTTTGACAGACAGAGGAGAAGGGAAGGTGGACTATTGCATGCAATGTTTCTGCACGTTATTAATAACTTACTCAGGACGCTGCTCTGTCACTTCATAAACTGTCGGCCGGAACCCATGATATTTATACACCAGGGAATTAGAAACAAACAAAAGTCAGTCCACAGGATGTTAGCAGATATTGATCAGTGACTGCACGATAGCAGTGTCAGACTTGTTCGCTACGAAAGGTACCACTCCGCCAATCTGGCATCCTGCAGTTCATCTGTTAGAGAAGTCAGAATTGGGACTTTCTTAAGCACACAATGAATGCCGTTAGCACCCCCGCACACCTGCGCCCTCATGTTTGTGTGGAAGGACGGACAGGCGGCTTTTAAATGAAGATAGTGGGCTTAGTGGTTAATGACTGACTGCCATCGTCCATTTACCCAGCCCTAATCACACTAATTGTAAGGCATGTGTCAGAGTATTTACACATGACACAACACCTGCACTTATATCGTGTTTAGCAGGCATTAAGTTAATAACAATCGGCCACATGCCTCCAATTTCTGATCAGGTGGGATTCCTTATTCAGCACACCTGCGTGAGAGGAGAGTCTTATGGTTCAGAACATTTGGTGCATCAGGAGTAGACTGTTGTATCATACGTGTGCACTTGTTCACTCTGTGGTCACTTTGCTTCTCAGGAACTTTGTTGACGACTCCATCACCAGCGTCTGTTGCCCCCCACCAAGTCACGATGCCCACATATCGACCTCCTGGCACACCCAGCTACAGCTATGTCCCCCCACAGTGGTGAAGAGAGGGAAGCGTGAGTATGAGGCTTTGATATTTGCAGAGTCAGATTGTGTCTCAAATTGCATACTTCCGTTAGTACACTGTGCACTATGTACTTCTTGTGTGGGGCACTAATATCAGCAGGGTTGTGTAGTCGAGAAGTGCACACTGCCGTTTTGCACATACGGTAAGTGACGACTGCTTTTTTTTAACTGCCTCTTCTTCTTCGCCATCTTCTTTTTAAACAGTAAACTGACAGTGGAGCATTATCGCTAACATTTGGCCGCTATCTCCGCCCACACATAAACCAAACTTGCGCCACAGCGTAGCTAGCAAGCGAATGCTAACGTTATACGCATTATGGATTGCGGTACCAAATCATTACAGACCCAACAAACATCACTGACAGCTTCTATTCAACAACAGTATTGGTTCTTAGCGCAAAAAGTGTAACATGTATAGCGCCCCCTGTTGTAGCACACTGCCTTGCATGCTTAGTACACTTAAAAATATGAAGTGTTCAGTATAGAGGTTTGCGATTTGAGACACACCGTCAGTCTGATGATGGTTAAGGACTTTTACCACTTAACATGTCACCTCTCTCGCTTTATATTCTTCCATCTGAAACCTTCCCTTAAACCAGATTTAGAGTTCACACTCCTCCGTGTCGTTCTCCCTGCAGGTCTGAGGATGGTAGATATGCATTCACACTCTACTCCAGTGTTTATTGCTCTTGGTGAAGACCTGCCCCGCCAGCGTCTGCAACCAGTTACTCTTCTTCCAGCATAATGTGAATCTAAAACCCAACTACATAGAAAGAGGCCCATTTTCGGAATAGGAGGGGGTGAAGAATAGGCCCATCCCCCATGACCCCTCTCAATGGAATAAGGCTGCATTCCATGTCACACACCCGCCAGCGCCAGCACCTCTACAACCTGCTGCATATCTCACATCAAACAGCAATGCCTCCATGCAAACTTTTCTTTGTGGACTGTCATGCAGGTTTTTATAGCTTCAAATTAAGTGGTGAAAAGGGAGTTAGGAACTGTTTTTTCGTTGTTCATTTTAATCCGGGGGATACATATGATGTTGAATGCATGTGTATATATAGATATATGAAGTAATGCTAGCGCAATCTACCTGCTGTGACAGATGCAAACTCAACTAAAGGCACACATCCAAAGGAACTTAAAAAAAAAAAAAGTAATAATCTGCAATGCTGAATCACCAGTGACCATGTCTTACATGTGAAAGAAGAAAAGACAAGAAATGTTATCCATGCAAAAACATGCCTGCACACACACGTGCAGACCAAACTGTACTCTCTTCACTGCTTTGTGTTTTTGGTAATCAGAGCTAGGTTTGAATTCTTTTTCTCAGTGATGCAGTGTTTGCATTTCGTCTTACCATTTTTGTATTTTAGGAGAGATGGGACTTATGAGTTTGTGCCTCTGACTGACGGCCATTCCAACACTTAATCATTCTCAGTGTTTATATTTTTCCTGCTCTGTCAGACCTTTTAGGAAAAGAGTATCAGCTTTCCCAAAAGTGTCACGCAGCCTTTTGTTTCCTGCTCTTTTAGGCGATATCAACGTTAAAACTATTCAGTAATTCCAGATTCATTCTTGGAGGGAGTTGTTGGAAATAATTTGCACCCATTTAAGAGTTAGGAGCGTGCATGAGCAGGACCAGTGTCGTGTGTGTGTGTGTGTGTGTGTGTGTGTGGAAGAGGATTGAAATAGAAACCATTAAGAATGGTGCCATATAGTGCGACACGCCTTGAGTATTTGACCTACATCTCACAATAATGAACTTGTCCTTAGGTAGGTCTAAAGCACTACGTCATGAACTCACTGCTAACTGTGGACATGCTAGGAAAACATGATATTGTTAAACTCCATTTGTGAATAGCACTACTGAAGAAAGGCACTAATTCAAAAGCAGTAAAGATATCTGACCTTCTACATCGCTCGCTGTTTTACCTCGAGGTTCCAGGCTAACACACCAGTATCACTGTTTCTGACATGCTTTTCTATGTTGCCTCAGTCACCTCAGTTAAATAATCTGTTTTGTAAATGTTATTTTTGTGATTTTGGTTCTTGTTTTGTATTCTAAAGAAAGACCAAAAATAAAACAAATATAAGAAGAGTCTGTGTTTCCATTTTATTGTTGTCATTTTGTACTTCCTGTCCCTGAACACTGGTTGATGGTTGTGAAGTGTTAAGAGCCTGATGACCACAAAAGATTGGGCATTGAAGAAACCTGATTTTCACACAAGTAATTACACCTCTTTCTTCAAACCAAGGAAGATGTAATAAAGATTTTTACTTTCTTGGATCATAGAAATAACGTCATTTCTGATAATGGCCGTAGTTCCCCTTCAAAATATATTGTCCTACAGGACACCTTAGGAATTAAACAGGCACGGGTAGACGAACTGAATAAAGAACTAACAGATGAAGTCTGGGATGAATGTTAAAACCTTTACACAGACTCTATTCCTGATGTTCTCTGAGGCTTTTGGGAAATCTTGGAAACCTGATCCACTCCTATTTATCCTTGGAGCAACTAGCTCCTTATCCTCTGCTAGCAAAAGTTAAAAAATGGCTGTGTTATTTGTAATGGTGATTGCAAAGAAGTTAATTTTACAAGTGTGGAAGATGGACGCTGTTCCTACAAATGATTTATGGTTATATGAGGATGGAGGTGTTGTGTTTGATAAAATTTGGAATCCTATACTTAAATTATTTCAGGGCAAAGGTTAATGTCATAATATTTTTTAGATGAAGCACCTTGCTGTGTTTATTTTATCCTTTTTCTTTCTCCTTTACTTTGTACTGATCACTCTGCCTGTGGCCAGTTACAGTTAATGTGCTCTACCTGTTGGCTTTGGTTTTCCTATGTTTTTCTGAGCTCTAAAAACGCAATGGACATATTAGGAATTAAAAATAAATCCAAATATGTCATCAAACGGCCTCCATACTCAGCTCTACCTACTTAATAATATAAAAAATATATAATTATGGCCAAATTCTTTAGAAATGTTATTTCCAGTCGTAACAGTGTTTGAACAGCAGAGGGCGCTGAAGGTTCCAGCTCAGCGGCAGCAGTAGAAGAAGAAGAAGACCGGAAGAAGACTTCCCATCATGCAACCCGGCGCGCGAGTTTGGATTTTGTTTTGCAGTTACTAACATGAAATACTGCACATTGACATGTTAACTTAACAGTATTATACTATCAAGTTTATCTCGGACACTCTTGTGTAAGTCTTTTTCATTTTATACGGCGGCTGCTGCAAATGTGTAGTTTAATGTTATCTAAAGAACGTTGGTGCTGTTGTGTTGATTGGTTTACAACAATATAAAGTAATTAACGTTGGTGTTTAAATGCGCATAACGTAAAAGCAGTGCTTCTTTAATAACATTGAAATATAAAGAGCTCAGTGTTTGGTGCTGTGTGGTATGAATGTGTTTACAGGTTTAAAATATCTCAGTAATGTTAGCAAGTGTCGAGAGTGAAGTGTCGCGAGCCGACTGGACGTTTAGCTCTGAAGGTAAAGCTACATTTAATGCTAACGTTAGCTAGTTAGCTATGAGTTGTACTTTATTTCTTCACATAATGGGATTGTAGTTAACTTTGGTTTTTAATAAAAGAGATCAGTTTGAGAGATCAAACAGCAACATCACTGGCATTAATAGATACAGTTGAGGAAATCACAAATTCACCAGACCCCAAACTGTATACAGGTGGAACATTCATACACATAAAGAAAGGCTTTTGACACAATAAACCATATTCATTAAACTAGAACAGTGTGGCATCAGAGGTAAAGCGTTATATTGGGCGAAGAGTTATTTATCTGACAGAATGCAGTGTGTGAAGCTGGGTGATCAGTGTTCAACGTGTTTGGACATTACTGGTGGTGTCCCCCAGGGGTCAGTGTTGGGCCCTAAATTGTTTATTCTTTATATCAACGATTTATGCCAAGTATCAGAAGTTTTGAAATTGGTGTTATTTGCTGATGATACAAATATGTTTTAATCTGGCAGTGATTTGCAATTTTTCAATTCAGAACTGAGTAAATTAAAAGTATGGTTTGATAGAAATAAATTATCACATCATCATTAAACCTTGGCAAAACGAGAATGATATTTTTTGGGAACTGCCGAACTAATACATGGATAAAGATTCATTTGTATGGGTTAAATACTGATAGTTAATGAAATCAAATTTCTTACATATCACATAATCACATATTAAGCATGTGCAAACTGAAGTATCAAAAGGTTTTGCTATATTAAATAAAGCAAAGGTCCTGGATCACAAGTCACTCCACATACTATAGTGTTCACTAGTTCTTCCATATCTAAATTACTGTGCAGAGGTTTGGGGCAACAACTACATAAGTGTAATTCATCCATTACTTAATTTGCAAAAGAAAGCAATTCGGATCATTCTGGGCAGTGTATAGGGATCATACAAACTCATTATTCTTACAGTCAAAACCAAAAAATGTCAAGTTATTTAGAACACCCGTGCAAAAAAAAGAATGGTTCTCAAAGTGCAAAAAATATTAATAAGTGAATAAAAAAGGAAGCAAACATTTCAGTCCTTGACTCTCGTCAGTGCTCAAAGCTACTGTTTTTCTATACTTTGAACACCCTTCTTTTTGTGCACAGATGTTCTAAATAAACTGACATTTCTGTGCATTGATCTCAGCCTGTGGGCCTTTTTTGTGGCTGTCTGACTCCAGCCCAGTTGCATCGATGTGCAGGTATCTCCTCAGCCGTCCTTTCTTGGTCGTCCATTTTACCGACACACTTAATTTAAACTTTTTTGTTGCCCTAAGTAGGTGCAGACTTTGCAATCTGATTTAATCTACCCATCTTTTAATTTTTTTTTTGTTAAAATATGTCGACCTTTCCTACGTGAAAGTCCACATTTCTGATGTAACAAATCTTAAAACTTCCACTGAGCCTAATACTGGCTTTTTTACTTTATGCTTGCACTTACATGTTGGCATAATGTAGATTAACCTTACTCACTCTGATAACTATATTCCTACATAAAACCTGTCTCTGCACAGGATCGTATATATAGTGCTTACCTTTACTTCCTTACCTGCAATGCTTGAATAAGAAGAGATGATTTGTCCACAAATCAGTTTAATATTTGATTAAAAATTATCTTGAAAATGTCTTAAAAAGCATTAGATTTAAGTGTCTGATATCTGTAGACCCCCTGTGTAACTGTAATCTGTTACTGAGGAAAATATGTAATTAAAGTTAAAGTTACTAATCAAACTGGTGGTGACTACAAAGGAGTTACGTTACGAGTTAAGTTATTCTTTTAGGTAAAACGTATGTAGATTGTGGCATTCATTCTGTTGCTTTGCATCTTTTCACCATGTAGGAATACTTCCTTTAATCAAATGTAATATATTATGTTACTTTGAAGTTTTTAAAATAGTCACATAGCAATCTATAACCTATTACCTTTGAAAAATGACCCCTGAACACTGTATGTGATGGTTGTGTTGGCAGGTAGTGGAAGAGCGGGCGTGGTTTCAGCAGTGAATGGAGGATGAGCAGCCCAGGACAGAGCCGAGGAACACCCAACCCTCCTGACCTCTTTGAGGACTTGTTGAGACAGCTCAGAGAGTGTCATCAAGGTGCACTTCAAGGTAACTGACCTTTGGTTGGTTAAACTAAAATCAGACACTAAAAATTACAACTTTTTTTGGCAGTGTGTTTTACACTCTTCAACATTACATTTGTTGCTGTTTTCAGAGCTGGAGGCAAAAGTGAGCAAGTTGAAAAATGAGCGCTGTCTGTGAGTACAATGTGTCCCGAACTCTGAACTATATTGACAGTGATGATAGCGAGTATATTTGACCCTGGCTTTAGAAAATCATTTCAGTCTTGTCTCCATTAGCGACCGACCTGTCATTACATCTGTTTTCTACAGAGATGCAAAGAGACTCGAGGTGTTTTACAATCGCACTCAGCAGCTGAAGCAGCAAAACAAAACGCTGCAGGATGCCAACACTCACCTGGAGGGAAGGTAACTTCCTCCACACCATGGTTAACTTTGTTCAAAACAATATACAACTTTTATAAGCAGCATTTTTTCACTGTTCCAGGCTCCATGCAGGAGAGTGTGAGCGATGTGCCGCCTTAGAGGAGAACCTAAAAAATAACCAGGATCAGAATTTAAGCCTCATCGCCAAACTGAGTGAGTTTACTTATTATTCTTGTTGTTCTACTCACATGGAGATGTGATGAGCTGCAGCTTAGCAGCCTCCCTGTTGCAAAAAAAAGAGAAGGTATTTAATGTTCTGCTTACAGACTTCGTCGTCGGTTTGAAGGACTTTGAGAATAATAGATGAACCAAAAAAAGAACGCCCTTTGAGTACATTCTTTTCTTTTCAGTGTGTAGCCCAGAGTCTGGGCAGAGGTGGCAGTGTCGTTTAGTCTACCATTTTGGTCCAGATTGAAACATCTCAACAGCTATTAAATTGGTTGCCACGAAATTGTGTAATGACTTTGGTGATTTCTTAACACGTCCAGTCTTGTTTGCATAAAAACAAGCCTGTTTTCATGAGAGTGCATGGCATGTGTGACAGTGTATCATGGGTTTATGATGACAATTGCAGTGTACCACAGGATATGGCTGCCGTCATGTTGAAAAGCACAATGTAATTAATTGAAATGTAGTGTGTGTGATACTTTTTTGTGTGTTGTTTGTCCCCCAGAGACTGAAAGAAACAGCCTCCAGGACGAAAACAGGAAACTACAGGCTGAACTGCAAAAATTAAAGATGTCTCGGTGGGTTCTTCAGTGTGTTACAGTCATGTTTTATCAACATGTTCTCTCTGACATAGTAAAAATGTTAAAATAAATGCAATAATTTAGAGTGTTTTGAAGCTGTGGTGTTCTGTGCAGGAATAAGCATTTACAGCAAAGTTTCAGTTCCTAGTTTAACATCGCAGGTGTTGTTTTCATCAGCTCGGAGCCCCAGCAGACCTCATCCTCAGAACAAGAGGAAGGCATCATCCCAGACTCACCAGTTCTGCCGAGCTCGCTGCCTGTGGCGAGCAGACTGAAGAAACGAAAAGATGTTGACAAAAATAAGCACATTCGCTACGC